AAAGCAGCACCCACTTTAAAAACGGATTCGGAGATTCAGGTAGTTTATGAACCCTCGGTGGCTGAATAGCCAAAAGCTAAGGTGAGAGCGCCGGTAGGCTTCTCGTTGCGGAGAAAACGGCCGAAACGTCGGGCACTCGGTGTATCAGTTACGAAAGATGTGGGGACGAGTTGTCTTGTCACTTTATTTTCCGTACTAGTTAAAGCGCTACAACCATTAGGTATAAGTAGAGTTACACAAGCCTTCCATGTTCCTGCACTTGAGACGGTAGACGGCTGCAACAGAAAGAGCGCGACAAACTGGAAAACTTCCGCGAAATCGCGTCCCAGTCTTCTGGAGCGATTTTCTCGGTCAGAAATGATTTTTGAGCCGAGAAATTTGAAACCCAATCCTTTTTTGAGTTCGCCTTTCAGAATCCGTTGAGAATTCAGGAAGCGTTCTGAGAGTGGGTGCTGCCTTTAAGGACTCTTTTTTTAAAATGAATCTTAAGATCTAAGTGTGTTGGTTATTCCTCGATAGCAGGAAACTCTCGGCTTCCCAGAAAGAAGGAAAAAACAACGTGCAGATAATCGCTATGTTCGACTTTCACTGAATCTCGGGATTGTATCTATGAATTTTAAGATTTAAATATGTTGATTATTCCTTAAAAAGAAGAAGATATTAACGTGCAGGTAGTGCGAGCACGAAGAGAGAACCACGTAAAATGATAGTAACAAGTAAAGTACTAAATACTACTGACTGTAGCGAGAGCTAAACTGAGTCTGTACTTGCTCAAGAGCAGCACATACTCTCCGAAAGCATTTTGTATTCTCGGTAGACTAGGAATATCACATCAACAAGTAGGTTCTAAGTCAGAATTCCCGTTGAATGGTCACTTCTGATGGGTAAACCCTCTTCAGAAAAAGGAGCAGCACGTAACCGAGTGATTTCAGAATTCTCCATGCCTCTTAGCGCTAGTAACCCAGTAGTATAGAACAGGTTTCATGCTGTTATACCGAGTTCTAAAATTTAGTGATCCACCATATAGAGAAGTTGGAACTTGACTTTACCAATGCGTTGTGGCACATCATCGTGGCATTCAAGAATTTCGTTCAAATGCTACTGTTTAATTACTGTTCGAAAAAAAAAACGAGGTACATGGATGAAAGTAGTTAATTTATGTCAAAGGTTTTATCGTTTATTCCAGTCAGGTGTAACCAGGGCCCGGCATTAGGGTTCTCGAAGCGTTCCCGAAAACGAAGCCCCTTTTGAAAATGATAAGACTTACGAAGCTGCCGTTGAAAGAAAGAAGGTAATTTTACCACAGATTATCTGTTTTCCATTCATTTTCTTTCTTTTCGATGGCCTCAGCCTACCTTTAGATCGTCTGTCAGCGAAAATGAGCAAAAATGCGAAGAAAAGTGTAACAAAGCAAAAGATGAAACGGAATAAGAGGACGAAGCGTAAGCAACGGTTAAAAAACAGAAAAAAGACACGCCTAGGATAGTCATAGCGAGACTGAAGAACGCGGCCTCGCACTTTGAGCGGGGCGTGATATTTTTAATGAAAAATTTCGTTTTTTGACGGATTTCCCAGGCAAGAGGAAAACGGAAGAAGTGCAATTTTGATGGTGGATAGCAACCACGGCCGCATACAATCGTGTGCTAAGAGACGCAATAAAATTTGAGAAAGAAGCGAGATATTTGCCCGTGAACAGCTGTGAACGCCTTAGGTGTTCCCCCATGTCTTCCTTTGAACACCTAACCACATAAAGGTCATAAAATTTGCTGTATTATATTTAAAGGCGATTTTTAGCACGATTATTCAACCCAAGGGTGCACATCTATGGCTCTGTTTTGGTCCCACATCTTTCAGTTTCCGCTTAAAAATATGTATACTCATGAGCGAAAATGGGAGTGGCCAGTGCCTGTTCGACGCGTACGTTCCTGCCAACGCAAGTTTCGTTGACCGTAGAGTTTAGATCCAACGTGCTAAATCTTGGTATGAGGTTTTGAGGAACCCCTGTTGTTTCCCTCTATAATTTCCAGCTTAAGATGAACTTCTGATGCTTTCATTTTATGTATTCCTTTTTAAAATCATTTCGGTGTTTCATTTTACACTTTAAGCGAATTAAAATTTTATCATCACTTGTCCCTGGTACGAATTCACTTCTCAAATCTTAGACTTTTACGAAGCCTGCGTAGCTTGCCTCGGAGAACGCTACGCCGGACCGGGGGTGCAATCGCACAACGCGACTGGGTTTCCGGAGCCAAACAGCAACCAACCTAGCCTCCGTTATGCTGGGTTAAGAAGCCCATGAGCGGAAATGCTTTATTTTTTACCTCTATGTAAATCTATTCAATCGCATTAAAGGTTACGTCCAAACCAAAAATCGTCTACTCGTTTTCCGAAATGAAAAAGGTTGTTCTGAAGTAGTATAGAAACTCTAAAGTCCATTTTTTATACTTTGAAATTAACGAACAATAGATGACTGGAATTAAAGTGACTTTTATGTTCCTAAGACACCTGCGGCTGTATTCATCAATAAATCAGTGGATAAACTATATCTCACGCTGATTTTAGCTGGGGTTTAGGCGGGTAGGTTAGCGCTTTATATTCACGAAAAAGATGCCGTTTAAGGTTGCCTAAACCTGAGGTTAGGCGTGCTCCGAAGATACGCCAGCAGTAGCTGGACTGACTTTCTCGAAAACGGCCTCTGAAGCAGACTAAAAAAACTAAAACTAAAACTGACATCCGCAAAATCGGCGTCTCAAGCTTAACAAACTGGTTGCTTAAGTCTCCGCAATTTTTATAAATCTCTAGTTTTGCAATAGGAAATCTTCAAAAGTCAATTTCAGCAAGCCTTTGGGGAATTTCATTGTTTCGTAGAATGCACTATTATGTAAAAGGTAGAAGAGGGTTTCGTGGGTAATGCGAGAGAACTATTCCGCTTGTACAACTATTCTCTGTCAAGTTTTGGACTGTGAAAATCAAAAAAAACTTTCCTTTCTAGCTTTCACATAAATCTTCGGGCAATCGAATTACGCTTCGTTCGCGAAAATGTTGCCTCCCTTAACTATCTACATAATTCGCAAGTGTCAGCTTCTACCGTTGCTTTGCTAACCATTGGGTACTAATATGCGCACCTCGAACCCTTACTGCCACTCTCCGAGTAGTTATCAATGATTTTCTGTGGAACTGTACATGCAGCCAGTGCAGATGCGGAAGTTTTATTTGCACTAAGCCAGTAATCCTATTTCTTTTCTAGCTTGACTGTAGTAATTCTAAAAGTGATCATTACAGTAATAAAGCCGAGAAGTAACTTTCTTACGCTGGCGGAATGGAAGAGAAAACCTCTACTTGTTTTCTTGTTTGAAACCCGCTATTCTTCGCTACTGTAGTTACGAATTTCTGAGAAGTTTCGGTGACTGCGAGGAGCTCTAAAAGCGATAGGAAGTTGCAGTTGCTGGCATTTCTTGATGAACCGTATTTGCGACAGCAGCCGTTTTGGACATGTGTCAACCCTCACTCCTTGACGCGATGACTTTACGTCCTATTAACCTTGAAGGTTATGCTGAAACCTCACGCTCACGATGAATTAGCCAACCCTCGCAGCCACCCCTTCTCAACAGGTTAGGTTTATGGTGAGTACCATTTTGAGAGTTAGCGGTGGGCGTTCCATCTTTAACCTCGGGTTAACGCGATGATGAATACGGCCCCTGGTAAATAAAAAGTTAATTTTCGCAGTTAGAGCTTTTCTAACTGCACCAACATCTACTGAGGGTGTAAAGCTTTGTAGGATCCTTTGACCATACATTCAGCGAGAGAATATGTTGGTAAAAGAACTTGCGGGTGTTAAATAATGATTTTGCAGTAAAGAGCCATTAGCAAAGCAAAGACGCTTATACCAACGCGCGAATGGCCGGACGGATAAGTTAGCCGACTGCGAAACAAAAAAAAAACGACAACCTCATAGGTTCAAGTCAGCGAGCAACGGTAGGCATTCAGATATAATGAAAAGGCGAACTGTGGAGGAAAAGCAGCAGATCTACGGGTACGGGTACAGTTTTTCGCATCCGTGAACTTTTGTTCCCCAGGAACGGTTTGGCACCGCTAATCTCCGAACAAAAATACATGTGCTCGTTAGCGTCGGCACATGTGCCAATATCGGGGTGGCACCTGTCGCAATCTTCGGAGTAAGACGAGCGCTCATGCAAATCAGAGATCAAGGAACAGTCAAATCCGAACAGCTGGACGTACTGGCTCTATTATGTGAGGATCGGCCACAACAATTCATATCTCTTGTTTTGGTATGTTTGCGTACTTTCGCTGTGGAAATTACGAGCTCCTGCTGTTTATGTGAATCCGATTTGAGACAATTGTCGTGTTCAAGGCACTAGGCAGCAAAACTTCCATATTTTCGCTGCGCTCTGGAAAAGTCCAGTGAAAGTTTCTGTAACAGCGGTTTCTCTTTTTTTTCTCGAGGATATGCTCAGCAAAGATCCTTTGCGGCATATCCACTGTGCGGTGACTGCCGACAGGAAAACTTGTTCACATCTTCTAACCTGTCAACTGTCAACTACCGTAGAAGTCTCAAAACGTGATAGATCTGTTGTAGGCGTACTTCTGCAACTGCCGACAAAGGTGGTTGCTACTTATTTCACACATCGATTCTCATTTTCTGCTTCCGCCACTGGTGCTTTCTTAGGGGAGGCGGACAAATGGCAAGATAGTTCTAGCGGCCACCACTGTAGATTTGCTTGCGGCAGTTTGGATGCGCCACAGCAAATTACGAAATTACGCACAAGCGAATTTTCCTGGACCACTTCTTCAATACTACGAACAATAAACCAGCAATAAACGCACCTCGGCAGAGCCTCATTGGTCACGTTATCGCCTCTGCGCAAAGCTTAAAAAATTTTGGAACGCTTCACGAATTTGCGTGTCATCCTCGCACAAGGGCCATGCTAATCTTCTCTGTATTGTTTGAATTTTAGTATAAACAGCTTTACTCGTCGGAAGCAGTGTTGTATATTTATCCATTTAAAGGTGGACATCGTTTCCTATACGAGGACACGCATTTTTTACTCACTGAGAAACTTTTTAAGAAGAACGAGCGCTGAAATGTGTCCTTTTCACAACAACAGTAACTACTCTAAATGTCCTTAGGCAACCTGGCCGTAGGTGTCACCAAGGAATCGCGCCGTCTATCCTAGACCCCTTTCTTAGCTGTCACCGAGCAAGCACCAACGGCGGAAGCAGAAAATTGTTTGAGATGGGAGGGGGCTCAGACTACAAGGGAATGTGGTTAGCGAAGAGGGTAGGCTGAATTTTATTCGCAAAATTTTTAAAAGTCTATGCTTTAAAACAACAGTATTTTTTTTGAAAAATTGAGTTCTTTTAATTTTCGTTCTGGTTTGCAGGTCATTTTCAAATTAGTAGGAGTAGTGTTGTAAAAAAGAAAATGGTAGAAATTTTTGGTAAACTATATCCAAATGCACTTAAGGCTATCTACCAGCCAGGGATGTGCGTAGTAAAAAATTACCTACGGAAATCGTAAATCGTAAATCGCAAAAATTCGTTGTAAATCGTAAATCGTTAAGGAAAAGTCGTAAATCTTAAATCGTAAACCGTAAACCGTAACTAACAGAGCTGCTACTGTGACTTGCGCAACACTTTGCTGTGCACTACTTCTAAATGCAGTAGCTAAAAACGTCCATTATTCAACTTTCCACCCTTCTCGCTTAGTCATTAATTTGGATTGGTTATATAGTAGATCAGATAGTTAGACAAGGAAACAAACGCATGCTTCATCGAGCTCAACCAACGTTACAATATGCGAAAATATGAGTGAGTAAGATAAAATGTAGTTAGACAAATTTTTCATTGTTATAGTTAAGGGAACGTCTTCTTAAAAAATTGTTGGAACAGGCATAACTCGTGAACTGAAAGTGTATCCCGCATCAACTGTGTTGAACAACGCGTCCACGCTCAGAATTCAAGCATCTCAAAATCGATTTTTGCTTTGTTCTGAGAATAGATCTTTACTTATCACTTATCAGTCTAAAGACGCATTTTTTCAAATACAGTACTACTACCATTTGCGCATCAATCTTGTCTTTGGAAATTTGCATCACGCCGCCTGTATACGGCGCAGAATATTGACGTCTTCGGTGGAAAGGTTTACCATTTTTTACGAAATTTTGGCAACTTTTAGGAAATTCGTAAATCGTAGAAAAAATGGTCGCAAATCGTAAATCGCAAACCGTAGATCGTAATTATGCACATCCAGCCCGAAAGTGTTGTATTCAGCTGAATATGTACTTTTGTTATAGAGCAACATAGCAAAAAGTATAGATACATATGCATATCATACATATGTCTACTACTCCGACAATCTTTATTCGTCCTCTCAAATGGAGTCGTTATTCCTATTATTCAAAATGTAAAAGAAATAGAGCTTCAAGCAGAGGAAGAGCACTTTTAAGCCACTGATCAAGATTTCATTCAGAAATTCTGCACAGGATCCAATCAAAACCTGAGCGCAAAGGGACCATGAAATATTGGCGTCACTTTCGCACGTCGCTTTCTTTTGATATATTGGGGATTTACCTGAAAAGTGCGTGCCTACGTGACTTTTGTCATGGCAAGAGAGCAGGCACACAGCACACAGTTCAGTTGTATTGATCGAGATCACGGTTCATCACAGTCCATCATGCTGCTGGCATAGGCGTAGTTGTCCTGTGAATCCCCTACGTAACCAGTACTGTGAGGAATAAAGCAGAAACTGCAATAAGGGGAGAAGAGCTTTCGAACCGTCGCTAGACTGCTCTACAGAAACTTTGAAACATTTTGTATAAAATTTCATGTGTAACCGCCGCACAAGGTCTACATATTAGCAAACTAGCGTTAGCTTTCTTAACTGCTGAGCAAGGTTTCCGGAACATCCTGATAATTGTTCTCTGTTCGTTTCCTTGAGCTGGAGAAATTCGAAATGTATATGCTTCGCAAATAAAAAAGTCGTATTTTTTAAATTCCGAAATTATAATTTTATTGCAATACCATATAGGAACGGGATGAATTTGCAAAAGAGTTTGCAACATCTCACGCAGCCAAAGGCTTGCAGTACATCATCCGAAGGATTTGTTTAGAGAAGCTTGTTGTTGCAGCGAAATTTAGAAAATTAGATGTGCTTCATAAAACTACTTCGGCGTTTCTAGCTACAGCAAAAAGCTCCTAAATAAGAAAATAAAAAAAGAGGAAGGAGAAACGGCGAGCTTTTTAAACGATGTTTTCAAGAGTTTTGTAGGAATCAAATATAAATTTTCAAATCTAACTAATTTTGAGCGACTAATGAAGGGATGGGAGCGTTTTAGAAATGTGATTTATGTAAAGTGCGGTTTAGGCATCCAGTAGATCGCTTCGCAGAAATGAAGTCCAATGAAAGCTAAGATCGCAGAGGCAGAGTTTTAACGTTCAACGACGTATTAACTAGCCCGGCAAGACATCTAGGAAATATGATCCTTCGTATTAAATCGCCAACAGCTGATTCCCTCCAATACCACATAGTAAAGGCTTTCTACCAATGCCATTCCTATTAAAAGCTGATTTCTCCATGTGAACCAAAAGCGAGCATCAATAAGACGATACTTCAATGATGAATATCTTCTTTTGAGCAGCTTTATCGAGCAGACATCATTCTCAAAAACCCTCGCACGAATTAGGTTATTTCGGGGAACTGATATCAGGTGATTATCACAACTTAATAGTATGTTGAAAAACAAAGCTTCCTCTAATATATTGAGAGAGTGAGAGAAAAGAGCTCAATTAGGGCTTGATTATTCGATTACTGCTTGTTTTCGATAACTGGACAGATATCACGTGATGAAAAATTTACAGCCAAGCGATTTCATAACAAAATTTTTTAACTCTTATGCTTTTCGATGCAAGTTTACAAGGTGTGACGAAAATAAGCTAATAGTTTCAGGCGGACTTACATATGCTGTATATGTACGAAAGAGGAATAAATACCACTGTTGATGGCTTATATGCTTCACTTTATTCAAACGGACAAATAAGCCAGAATCTCAAGACAGGGGATGAACTCCTAGGCATGAACGCGCTCTTTTTGTTCGTTCAGTTCAAGTCCGAAAGCAAAACTTTCATTGATAAATTAAACATTCCGCGACCAAGATCTTTTCGCTTTCGAACACAATATAGAAATCAGAAGAATCCCTTAATGCCATGCAGTGCTTGATACTCAATCACTGCAGCAATTTTCCTATACCTCAGATCAGTGGCGGTCTAAGGGGGTT